ACCGGGTTTTTTCATCTTGCTCGCCAGCCTGCTTTGAGTGGCGCGAGCGTCGTGCGTGTGGCTGCGTGCCAGCCAAGCTCCGCCAACACCGCCAACATTCCATGGACAAATTCTGGGACACCTTCAACGCCACCGCCGCTGACCAGGCGAAGAACGGCCGAGACGCAGCAGCAGCGCGACAGGCGATTGAGCCGCGGAATGCGACCGCCGAGACGCAGCAGCCACCGCCGATGACGCCGACGCGGAGGCGGGCGGTGCTGCCGGCGCTCCCTTTGACTACTTGCTGCGGCTGCCGTTGGCCGGGCTCACCGAGGAGCGTGTCGCCAGACTCGAGGCGCTCCTCGCACGTGCGGCCCTGCTCGTGCAGCCCTCACGGCGCCCCATCCCCGGTCGCGCAGGCGCGATGCGAGACAGTGCGCAGCGAGATGGCGGAGCTCGGGCCAATGTCTGCCAGGGGGATGTACGAGGAGGAGTTGGCTGCGCTTCGCCCCAGGCTCGCCGCCATTTTGGGCGAGGAGGCAGCCTACGACTCGCCGGCCGAGGGAGACTGGGGGTAGAGGTGCACGCTGTCGGTACACGCTATATCGGAGAGACTCTCGATCGGGAAAAAGTTTGACACACCGACGTCTATAACCACAGTGCGAGGACCGGAAGGCGGCGAGCGCGCTGTGTGCATACTAGCCTACAGGCGCTATGAACGCTGCTTAGCGATTGCCGCGCGGAAGCACTTGGAAAGCGCTCGGAACTCCGCCTCGCAAGCGCCGCGCTCGACCGCCTCCATGTGACCCTTGAGGCAAGCACCATAGGCGGACGCCTCGACAGAGCAGCTGCTGAAGGAGGCGGCTAGCCGCTTCACGTACCGCTTCGCGTGCTCAGCGTCGCGAGCCATTCGGCTGCCTGGAGCACCTTGGCGTCGTGCAGCAGCGCGAGCAGCAGCACCCTGAGCAGGCGCGGCCTCTGGCGAGTAGAGCACGCACGCTCACGGTTGGCGAACCCCTAAAAATGGGGTCCTGGGACGAGGACCCTGGTGTGCGGCCGCCGGACCTTATTTTCTCGACTGTGTGAAGCCGCCATAAAAACGGGTAGGCGGTGGAGTGCTCTCTACTGCCGCGGCGCCCCTGTCGACGTCGACCGGCGGCTGCTCTCGCGGCGCCGAGACGTGCCGCTTTGGCCTTTATACGTTTTTCTCGCTCGCCCAGTACTCTCTATCTATATTCTTTTCCCGTATTCTTTCCGTATTCTTGTCCCAAACAGGGTCTATATTCTCGAATATGCCAAGAATACAGCTCCCCAAACCGGGCCTATATTCTCAAATATTCTTTATATTCCAGCTGAAAATCGCTGAAAATCGCTTCGAAAAAGAATATAGAGTCGGAAGAAAGAATAACGTATAAAGGCCAAGTGCCGCTTTGATCACGTCTCGCGCGCTACGAGGTGTCTTTTGGCATGTGAGCGCTTGCCAAAGACGCCAGGATGCTCGGCTGCCACGCCTGCGGCCGCGGGCGAGCGGGCGGGCACGCCAGGCTCGGCGACGCTCTGCGCGGGAGCGGCCGCACTCTGCTCGCTACCCCCCCTGCACAACTAAGCCCGTCTCTGCTGCTAGGGGGGAGGGTCTGACCCCCCCAGCAGCAGAGCGTGCTACTGGGGGGGGGGTCCCGACCCCCCCAGCAGCAGAGCGCTGCTGCTGGGGGGGGGGTCCCGACCCCCCCAGCAGCAGAGCGCACTGGACCCAGCTCTCCCGCCTCCTCGCCGCCGCCCCCCCCTCTCCACCCTCGGCTCGTGTTTGAGCGTACGCTCGAGGCGGTTGTGTTCACCGCACCTTCGAGCCCAATACACCTTCGTCGTGTCGAGTGCTGGCGTTTTACTAAAGACTTGTGACCATGGTGAGGCCATCTTGTACTACCACACAACACTCGGTGTCAGAGCGTCGCGCCTACCTCAATAGTCTCATCACCGAGTGATTGCTGGCCTGTGGCGTATGACCTCGCGCGGATATCACCAACGACGAGCATGCGAAGATATTGAGCACTATCCGATGGACTTGTACAGCCCGCTGTGCTCTCCGCTGTGCCACGGCGTATGATGGGCTGCGAGCGCCGTATCTTCCCTCCTTGAAGCAGAGGCGCCGCGAGGCACGAGAGGCGTAGAAGAGAGGCTGGCGTGCCCCGCACCGCCCGGTTGGCAGTAGGAGGCCCCGCCGCTGAGACCACTGATTTTGATGCCGACCATAAATTCTCGCAACTCGAACGCATGCTACTTACAGCTGCTGTCTGTACAGAGATGCCAGCACCCCCCACAGGCAGAGCGCTGCTGCTGGGGGGGGGTCCCGACCCCCCCAGCAGCAGAGCGCTGCTGCTGGGGGGGGGTCCCGACCCCCCCAGCAGCAGAGCGCTGGGCCTGGCGTGCCTCCGGGTGGGGTGAGCGCCTGGGAGAGCAACTCTGCAAGTGGTGTGCGAGCGTGTAGCCTTTAGCGTGCAGTCGGCCGGGCCCAAAAAAAGAAAGGAAAAAGAAATGGGCAACCCCCGCACGACACCGGTAGGGGACTGGCACTACAAAGGAATTTGCGGTCGCCGGGTCAAGTGGGGCGCATAGGCCGCGATCGCGCACACCAACGAGTGCGTGCGCAAGCTCGCGCGGCGCGAGAGAGCGCTGGTCCGCGGGGTACCGCAACGAAAGCCTTATTTATATATTATATACAATTTTAGAGAGAAGCCTCGCGCACACCACACCCCGGACAAGATCTCCCTATACGGCTCACGCGACGTGACGCCTATGCAATTGCACGTCGGTGAATCCGCCTGCCTCCATCTTCGCCAGGAATTGGTCCCGCCTGGCCATCAATCGAGTCGGCCCGATCACGGCCCAGAGAAGCTTGCACAGGGAGATGTGCTTCATCGACGCCTGGTGGGTTCGGTGCGTCAGCATCCAAGAGGACGCGCCCAGGCGCTCGAGCGACTTGTCCATCTTGAACTGGCCGTACAGAATCAAGGGGAGCAACGCGGGGGAACCCCACTTCACGACATCGCCCGGTTCCGGGATGATCGTGAAAACATTCGCGTTCTTGCGCTCGTCGGTCTCCACGTTCTTCTCCAGCCAGGCCAAGATGGCGGCGCCAAAGCCGATGTTGAACGAGTAGCAGGGGGTGAGGTGGATGCGGTCCGCCTCGAAGGGAGTCCGGATGGGAGCGTAGCCGTCAGTGCCGTTCGCACTGCAGTCCACGACGAGCGTGTCGGCGCTGGGCAGGGCGACATGGCCTTGCTGCAGAGTGATGCCCGTCGCGTCTATGGCCGTGACGCGTCCGAGGCGTACCACACCTCCCGCTGCTTCGACGGTCCGCAGCAGCTCTAGCTCCTCGATGTCGACGGTAGCACCGCGGAACGTGGTGGGCGGCGGTCGCGAGGGATCGAGCCTCCCAACCAGCCGCATCGCCTCCATCTTGTGGAAGAAGCTCGACGAGTCTGAGCACTCGTTCAGCGCGTTGAGCATCTTGACGCTCATCCCCAAGAAGGCGCTGCCGCTGTGGAAAATGTAGTCCCGCAGAAAGTACCAGCAGTCCTGCGAGACCACCCACGTGATGGCCGACGCAGGCACCCCGCGCCGCAGCAGCAGAAGCACGGAGTCAACTCCCGTTTTGCCCGCGCCAACGACGACGTAGCTCGTCCGCAGCCGGCCCGACTCCTCGTCGGACGAGAGGATGTTGGCGGGCCCGCAGTCGACGCCCTCTGCGACGGCATATGCGGGTGGCCGCATGGCCGGCACGACCACGTTGGACGCAGGCAGCACAAGCTTGCGGACCACGTTGACCGACCGCTTGGAGCCGTCGGCGCACGCAATTATGCCGTCGCTGAAGGTTGCCCTCGCAAAGTACTGCACCCGTCCAGTGGCCTCGAACCTGCACACGGCTCGTGCAAAGTACGCGAGCAATTTCTCCTTGTCGGCGAGGTCCTTGTTGTCATACGGCTCAAACGTCATCATGCAACTCCGCTTCGCGCCGGCCGCGAGAGGCTCGCTCGACACGCCGTAGTAAGCCGCGGGTTGGTGCAGCCTGACGAATGGGTACGCAAAATTCCAGTGGCCGCCGGGTGCCTCGTTTTTGTCGACGAGGGCGAAGGTGGCCTTGCTGTCGAGCGAGAGAAGCTCGTCAAGGAACGCTAGACTGGCGAGTCCGGCGCCGACGACTAGGTAGTCTACAGCCAGCGCTGCTTTCTCGGTGTCAGAGTTGTCGGCTCTCTTCTGAAGCTCTTCATCGTTGGGCTCCTCTCCTGCAGCCATATCCGAGAGCCGATCGTCCTTGCGACGTGTCGTGTGCATGTGAAGGCCGAAGAGTCGCAAAAAATACCCACGTCGGGTTTTGGGAAATTTGCCCCGAAGGCAAGTGCGTCTGTTCACAGCTCACGAGTGAGTAAAAAATTTGGTTTAGGATCATCGCCTAAAGCTCCGCCCCAGACACTGCTCACTGGGCACGGGACTGGCGCGCACTGGCACGAACACAGCGCGATGAAAAGAAAGAAACTATATAAGCAGAGCAAAAACTAATAGGCGACCAAGACAGAGCGCCGAGAGAGCCATATAGACGTTCGAATAGAGAGTCAGGCAGAAGGTGGCCGCTGATGCATGCGCCAAAGCCGGCTCAGGGCTTGATCTCCGTGAATGTCGTTAAATACTTGCGCACCGCCACACCGTCGTCGCGCAGAAGGTACTGGAGAGCTGGGAGTCGCGGCACTAGACCGCGCCGCCAGCGAGGCGAGAGCGGCAGCAGCCGACATGTCCGAGTGGGACGCATGTACAAGAAGTCAGTTCATTTTCGTCCAAGGCCCCCCCTGGTGGGTGGGTGGGCGGGGCCTGTACTCGCCAGGGCGCGGCCGGAGAGCGAGTGGCGAGGGAAAAGAAATTTCACGGGATTGGGCGGGGAACAGTCCCGCCTATTGATTGACAACACTTTGTCCCTTTGTTTGAGAGAGACTTTGTCCTTCTTGTTTGACAACACGGAGCCACGGACGGCACGGGACTGAACAAAACAACCCCAAGAGAGGACTATCATCTATCTGTCAATCTCAACAAACAAGATTAGATTTGTTTGGTATTGCTAAAAATCTCTCTCAATCTCAGTTAAGAGGTGCCCCTCACAGCAGTCGACAGGCGACAGCAGACAGGCATGAGGCTCGACACAGGCAGGTGTGGACTGGCGCGTGCTAGCACTAACACCTAACAGAGGCAACGCGCACTGGCACTACACAGGTACACCAATAGAGAAAAAGAACTAAAAAGAATTTAAACAAAACAACTCTCTCTCACAGCAGACAGGCTCGACACAGGTGTGAACTGGCGCGTGCTAGTTAACTAAAAAGAGAGGGGTGGTTTTCGTAACGTCCTCCCGCCGCCACCATCGCGTCGCGCTCTCCTGCCCAGCCACCGTGGAGGGGGCGGTGCCGTGGTCGCCATGTGTGCCAGTCCTGCTGCGGCCAACGAGGCGCCGCTCGTCGAGGGGCAGCACGCCGTCCTCTCCGCGGCAATGACCAACGCGAGGCGAGCTCGGATGTGCGCCGAGGCGGACGCGATGCTGCTGGCCAACCGCCTGGCCCGGCTGGAGGCGGAGGAGCTGCGCGCGATCAAGCGCATCGAGGAGACGCACCGGAGGACGCAGGAGATTCTCGCGATCAAGGCGCGCCACCAGCAGTCCGACTATGAGAAGCAGCTCTCACGGCTTGGGCAGGATGAGGCGGTCGAGAGGCACAAGCACGCCCTCCTCGAGGCAAAGGAGCAGCAGCGGGCGGCGGTGGTCGCCGCGCGAGAGGCACAGACCGCAGCCAGATCGATCTCGGCGAGCGAGGCGAGACGTGCAAACGAAGCGAACGCGGTGGCCATCGCCCGCGCTCGCACAGCGGAGCGCGCCGCCGCCGCCGCCCGCCGCAACAGCGTCAAGGAGGAGAAGGAGGCGGCGCGGCGCCGGCGCGAGCAAGAGAAGCGGCTCCTCATTGCCGCGGCGCGCCAGCGCGCGTCGGAGCGGACGGAGCAGAATGAGCGGGCGGCGGCGCGGTACGAGCTCGAGGTGATGCGGCTGCGCAAGGAGGAAGCCGAGCTCATCGAGGCGCTCGGGGCCTCGAGCGCGAAAAGGGAGGGGTGTGGCGCGCAGGAGCGGAGAGAGAATATGCACCCCCCGAGCGGGCCGGAGAGTCTGAGTGCGAACGAGTAGTTATCGGGTGTGTGATAGGGGAGGGATGTGAAGGAGATATATCTCGAGAGATATCTAGGACGCGACGGGGCAGCGACGGCAGGTGCTCAGTCCTCTCGAGCACACTTTACTGCACTAGTTAGGACAGCAATCTGCCGAAATGCGTTTTGAGATCGATCATTTTCCCGTCAGCAAACTCAGTCAGCAAAAAAAGTGGATAGCGCGAGACCGAGAAAAACAATCTCGAGAGAGGTGTTGATATCCTTTGGCCGCGCCCGCGGTTGTGGGTAGGAGAAGGAGGGGGTTGGTTTCATTCCCCTCCGCAATGAGGCTAGCCCTCGCTCGGCGATGTATCGACCATCAGCTGAATTCTCGATCTGTTTCTGTACCGTCTCGCGTCTGTGTCGTGCGAGGAGTTTTGTTGTAAAATTCTGTACCGTCTTCTTCTTGTGGGCAGGAGCAGCATTGATTGGCCTGCCCGTCGCATGTTGGTGGCGACACCTTTGGAGGACCACCCCTGCTTCGAGGGGAGAGAGACATGCCATATTCACGCTGATATCTGCTTCTACGAGTAGGTTGGGAGGTACCGGGTAGGCATAGGAGGACAGCAGGCTCGGACTTGACCGGGACCACCCCTTTCAGACAGTTGGCGGGAGGGTGTATATGCCCGGCGGCGGCTGGCCAATCGCGCCCGTTCTGCCAGCGCAGTTCGCCCCGCCATCCGAACGGAGACTCGGCGCTGCACTCATCTTCACGGGCCACCTCCGCGACACATGCGAGAGGGCGGGCGGCGTCACGGTGCTGCAAACACACCAGCAGCGCTGCCACGAGGCGTTCAACCGCTCCTGCGATGTCTTCATTCATACCTGGGATGCTCTCGATTGGATTGGACCCAAGGCAAAGGGGCGAAGGTACGACACCCTGCAAGGTCAGCTCTCCGCAACGAAATCTTGGCGCTGCGTGGCGCAGATTGCTGAGGCGTTGGCGCCAGTGAGCATAGCCGTCGGAACGCAGAACGACAGCGCGCTGACGTCAGACTCTCATTCGTGGACAAACTGGGAGGCGCTGGGGGGGACACGAATGAACTCGGCCAGCATTGCTTTCGGGGTCGAGCTCATGCAGCGCCATGCGTAACTGGGAGGCGCTGGGGGGGACACGAATGAACTCGGCCAGCATTGCTTTCGGGGTCGAGCTCATGCAGCGCCATGCGTACCTGAAAGGAGGTCTCTACTCGGCGGCAGTGCGCCTCAGAGCAGATGTTGGGAGCTCACGCTTCGCATCACTTACAAAAAAGAGTGAGTACCGACGCAACATCATCAGCTCCACGGGATGGGGGCACGTTGCCGCACGTGCTCGCCGGCTGCTACCCTCCCGCGAAGTCAACCAGTGCGGCCACCCAAACTTCAAGCACCTCGACTGGTGCTTCTGGAGTGCGCCAGCCGCTGCCATGGTCGCTCTCGGCAGCGCGCTGCACGCTGCCTGGGCCGGCGGGGGCGGCGCCTTTGCCGAGCGCTGCCGCAACCGTATCCTCGCCTCAAAGGTGGCCGCGTTTTCGGAGAATACACTGCTCTGCGCGATGCGGGAAGCGAACGTGACGAGAGAGAGAGAGAGAGAGAGAGAGAGACGCGCGCGTCGCGAGCGTCTGACGCGGCGGGCGGCGTCGGGCAGGTGCGCTTCTCTCTCGGGTGGTGGTGGTGGTGCTGCTGCTGCTGCTGGTGGTGCAGATGCTGCTGCTGGTGCGGCGCGGCTCTCCGACGCGACTCGATGCGCGCGTCGCGGCTATCTGACGCGGCGGGCGGCGTCGCGGGCGGAAGCGATCGCGGCTCGACGGTGGAGGTGGAGGCTGGTGGCTGTGGTGGACTTTGAGTTTGTTTCATGGTCGAGTACGGGGACCGGGGGGTCAACCGGGAGGCAGGGGGTTCGACCTGGCGACGGAGGACTGTGGGCCATCGCGGGGACTGCTGCGTACGGAGGACGCGGCAGGCAGATCCGGATGGTCTCACCCGGTGGGAGGCACCGAGGCGTCTGGGACGCTCAGCTCTACCTTAAGCTCCTGAGGGGCGCGTGGTTCTAACCACGTAGTAGGACTACAGCCCACCACAGACACCCTCCCCCACTCCTCACGTGTGTTCACACCCTCACCCTCTCCTCTCTCCTCTCTCTCTCTCTCTCTCTCCTCTCTCTCCTCTTGTCTGTGCTGTCTGCCTGACTCAGGCACTCAATCTGCCGATGCGTGATTGTGTGTGGGCTGCTCCGAGGGGGCCCTCTATGCGATCCGACGGGTAGGGGGGCTGTGCCCGGGCGGTGTCCGGTGTGGGGTCCCCTTCTGATCCCGCCTGGGATGTTGGGTGTGAGGTCGTGGAAGCTTCGATCCCAAGGGGGGGAGCTGATCCCACTCAATAACCAACTCTCAGGGGCAGTAGGTGGGCGAGCTTCAGGCACGCTCATCTCGATCGTCAAGACGTTGCTACGCGCGGTCTTCCGCGGGGGGAGCTGCGTCGACGGGTGCGGGACCGCGGCGCAGCCAGTGCCGCGGCGAGGCCTCCGGCTGTTTGCGGCGGGCGGCTTGCTGCTCGCTGCGATGGCGAAAAACTCGTCTCGCCACACGCCAAGGGCTTATGCTCTGGCGAGACGTGAGGCGCATGCGCCCAGGAGGGGAGGGGGCATGTGTAACGACACTGCTAGAGATGCCTTTCGGGGCCCAGAGATAAAACTTCTGTGATGCCATGCGTGACCTAGTAGTGTCCCCAGCTATGGGCGTGTCCACGTTGGAGCCAGGTGTGGTGTGGGCGCGAGAATAGCTCCGCCGTTCATGGAGGCAACCGATGCGAGTCGACTGGTGTGTGTCGTCGTGGTTTCGTATCAAGAATTCTCTCTCTCTCGCGAACGTGACGCTCTCTCGGATGTGGGATTTCCTTCCTGAAGGCCAGGCGTTGTGCAGTTGCAATGTGAATGCGCCTGTAGACTCCATGTGGCGGGCACAGCAGGGAGCCTTCAAGCATGTCGGCGGGATCGCGAGGTTCCTCTGCGCCGCGACGGGGAAGATGCCGTTGGTCAGCGCCCAGGCGCCACCAGCACCGTGCGGCACCCCGTGATGCGTGGACAGGCCGTGATACGCAGCAAATTTGCGGTGTTTTGCCGGACTTGTGCTCTCTCTTTGTTTCTTTCGGGTGCGGCCTGGCCGGGTGTCCCCGCCGCCTATCCGCCGACGCTGTTCAAATACAACGGAGTGAAAAAAGTACTAGCAGCTCCTTCCCGTATTAACTCCAGAGTGACTCGCAGCAGTAACAACAGAACAACAGTGGGGCTCCCCAACAACAGTAGCTAACGTTAGGCCCGCTGAACAACAATAAGGAAGGCCTGGCAGTGTGACCCACGACGATCTCCAGCGCAGCTCCAGCGTCCAGTGCGGGTAATACCCGAAAATACACCCGGAAACCCCCAGGATTTTGGGTTTTACCCGGATTTTTTGGCATTTTCTGCTTGCTGAGGCTACAACGTTAAGGATTTCAGCCAACAGCAACACTAGCGCAACTGTTTAGGCCCCAAAGTTAAAATGTTAAACAGCTCTAGCAGTGCACAGAGTCACCGACGAGTCGGTTTTCGCGTGACTCCTCGTGTCCCGTACCGTCCTCACACATCCATAAACTCTTAGTTTGGCCTCACTGAAGCGATGCCTCAATCCTGAATCCTCATATTTTAGATTAGGATTTAGGTCGACATCCTCCACACACGCAAGTGGGGGCCCGAAATGGGTAGCACATATCGCGGCGTTTCGTTGAACGCGTGTTCCTTTCATTTCTCTCATGCTACCCACGCAGTGACCGCGATCCTGTCCGCCTTGGTGGGCAGCACCTCGTGCACCATCGCGCCGCTCAGAAAGCAGAGCAGCCGCCCGCCGATCGGCGGGATGTCCATCGTGCTGCCGGCCGTGCCCCTCGCCCCCTCCGGCCTGGCCTTCAGCCCGGTCGCATTCTCGCAGTCGGCCCTGGTCAGCCGCAAGCAGCCCTCACTCGCCTCGACCCAGGTAGAGTTGCAGTACAGGATGCAGGTCACCTTGCGCTCGCGGCTCTCTGGCCGCGGGTCTGCGGTCGCGTCTGTGTGCCGCCGGTACCGCGCCTGCTTGCCCCCAGAAAAGTGGGCCAGCTGCACCTCCAGCCGGCTGCCGACGCCCTCCATGAGCTCGCCGAGGTCGACCGCCAGGGCGTCGAATCGCGGCAGGACGCGGTCCGCAAACACAGGCTCACACGCCGGCCGCTCGCCGGTCTTGAGCCACGTCGCGAGGTCGGTGCGAGCGTGGCGCGGCTCTGGCGCCCGCCACTCGACGCCGTCGCTGCCGCCCTCCGCCCAGCCGCACGCGGATGCCGCAGCGAGCCTCTCGACCTCTGCCACTGCCTCCGCATCCATCCAGTCGTCGACAACCGCCCAGCCGTGGCGAACGAGATGCGCCGCCGCCACACGACCGAGGCACGGCAGGTGAAGCTCGTGGATCCGCTCGAGGGCCACGCTGAAGAGGCGGGAGCAGGTCGCAAACGCGTCCACGCCTGCACGGCAAGTGCGTAGTAGGTGTTCTGAGAGATGCGAGTGGTGCGGCGGGAGGAGAGACGGGCCTTGGGCGGAGCAGAGAAGCCTTGCAGACTGCACGCCTATCCGAATGCGAAAGGCTGCCGCGTGTCTGTGAGGCGGCTGCTGCCCTCCCGACAAGTGTGATATGAGGCACCTTTGACGCCGCGCAGTAAAGAATAGAGGCTCGGTCCTCCATCCGCAGCAGGAGAGTCCGCGGAGAGAGCCTGCGGATGACGCGGCGTCGTAGAGGTCGGTCGCACTCATCTCGCCGTCAGTCGGCAACACCTCGATCTCGCAACGCAGCATCGAACGCGCAGCCTGCGCAGCAAGAGCTCAGGCAGCAGGGTCAGCGGCCGTGGACGGTGGAGATTTCGGAGAGGAGGGAGGCGTGACGAGGAGATCCCCGTGTCTTCTTTGTTTTGAGGAGGCAGGGGAGGGGGAGGATGCGGATGCCCCCAAGGGAAAGCTCAAGGAGCTGGATGGCGATTACCGCTTTGCGCGGGAGCAGGATTGCGATCTGCGTTTGTTCGACTTCGAGAGCTTCGGAGGCTTTGGAAAGGAGGTTCGCAGCACCCTGCGGGAGGCGGCGAACCAGCTGAGCAACAAACTTTCGCATGCTCAGCACCTGGACGAGGTCACATGGACAACAAAGAACTGGCACGGCCTGCAAATGCAGCGTTTGTCGGTCGTCCTCCACACCGCTGTGGCGTGGCAGACGGTGAACGAGCTAGCGTGCGGGGAGAGCGGCATTGTGCATGGTGCGGAGTGCATTGCCGTTCTTAACGGAGTCGCTTAGGCGGCTCCGGTGGTGAGCCGGTGTGTGTGCCAGTCCGCGCCAGTCCGCGCCCTTGTCGTGCCAGTGTGCTGTGAGAGAGGCTTGTATTTGAAGAATTCTTTGTCTCTCCTCTCTCACTGTATGTGGCTTTTTACCTACATTTACCACAACAACATGTACATTTAGGATAATCTGCGTTTTTACCCCGATCTCTTTTTGAGATTTTTAGCAAGACCAAACAACTCTAATTTTGTTGCTTTTTGACCGCGCAAGACATAAGGGTGGCTCAGGGCTCTGCCCGCAAGGCGCCCGCGTCGCCGACGCGGTACCATTGACTAATCCCCGAATCACACCCACACGACCAAATAGCGAAAATCCGAATACCGTGCAAAAATCACCCTCGGGTATGAGTTCGTAAGAGCTACATACACTGAGAGAGAGAGAGAGATAAGCATTAAGCTAAAAGTCAGTAGGGTCAGTACACTGAAAACCACGGAATCTGGGACGAAGAACGGTGACAAGTTTGGCAAACTCCATCCGGCGCTTCTATCGATTGGACGGACGAAATGATCGCGGAAACACGGGACCGCATCGCGACATCGGGGGTTCACCATACATGCCGAGCCTGCTGCCTCGGCCTGCCATGCGCGCGCGCGCCTCGCCCGAGCGCAGCCACCTGCGGACCTGGCCAGCCTGTTCCTGGCTCGTGCCCAGCCTCTCCTTCCGCTGCCGCCGGCCTCGCAGTCCCGCCTGCCATCACGCTGCAGAGCCTGCGTAGACGCCACAGACGCCAATTCTGCAGCCCACAGCCCTGGCAACTGTCAACTGAGGGCGAGGGCCAGCAGTATACGACGACGACGGCATCTCACACCCCGCGCTGGCCAGCGCCATCAGCCCCTCACGGCCCGGCCCAACCTCCCTTCGCTAGCGCCATCGCCTCCAGCGCCTCCAATCAAGTCGCACCTCTCTTCTTCAGCGAATGCAGCGGCAGCACCACGTCAGAGGCCGGGCCGACTGGCGGACCTGCATGCCCAGCCATGCCCCCCACTCACTCCCCACCCGCTTGGATCGATCAGCTGACAGCTCCACCAGCTCCCACCACCGCGTGTCGTGTCATGAAGCATGAGATAGACATAGAAAGCATGAACCACCGAAAGGTCTGATCTCCAAACAGAACTCTCGGCGCGCGCGCCCCGCCCCTTTTGCGCAGCAACACCTTAAATTTCATGGCCCTCCAAATTCGGGTCGGAGCGTAGCGGAGCGGGCCCCGAGTTTGAAAAAGGCGACGGACGCTTGCGTCCTAGCCTCCAACAACGCCTCCCCGGCGCAGAGGGGCCCCGGAGGGATGCTCAACCGCTCCACGCCACGCCGCTTGCGGCGGTCCTATTCCCAGCTTGTGGGGCCTTGGAGCACTCGGAGTGCAGTCATTAACCTCACATCCAGGGCCGGGGAGCTGAGAAGCGCACCCAGCGGGCCGGATGATAGGTACGGCGCTCTTTCATTCTTTGTCAAGGCCGATCACGGCCGCCGCCGCCGAGGCCTCGCCGCTGCCAACCGACCGCGCCGATGCTCGCCTTCAACGTCAAGACGACCGAGCCGGTTCCGGTCGAGGAGCGGCTTCGGAGGCACGTCGACACTAGCCGGTTCCCGTCGGGACACGCCTTCCTCAAGGACCTGCAGGGCTGGCGGGAGAAGATGCGGAGCCAGCGGTTCGGCACGAACGGCGCCGAGGCGGTTCGCGACGGCCAGCTCCGCTACTACGCGCTCGCGACGCACGCGGAGCACCACTTTCGCACCGTGGACCTGAAAAACGAGGCCAAGGTCGTCTTCCGCTGGTACGACACCTTCTCGACGAGGAGGTTCGTAGACCAGCCCGACTGGGCCTTTGAGCGCGCCAGCGTCCTCTTCAACGTGGCCGGCGCGCTCTCGTACCTCGCCACGTCGCAGGAGCGGGGCGTCCGTCCGCGGTCCGTCTGAGTGCGCATGCGATCAGCGGTCTGAGTGTGCGCCCGTAGGAGCGGGGCGACCCCGAGCAGATTAAGCTGGCGTGCCGCTACTTCCAGGAGGCGTCCGGCGTGATCAACGAGCTGCGCAAGATCGCGTCGAACGCCTCGTGGCTCAGCTTCACGCCGGACATGACCGACGATTTTCTCGAGGCGCTCAGCTGCATCATGCTCGCCCAGGCGCAAGACTGCTTCTACGAGATATGGCGCTCTCTCCTTACCCTAATCCTGACGCGAGCCCTAGCCCCTGCTCCAGGCGCAAAAGTGCTTCTACGAGAAGGCGGTTGCTGACGGCCGGTCGCACGCGATCGTCGCCAAGCTGGCGGCCGAGTGCGCCGCGCTCTACCAGGACGCGGGCCTCAAGCTCACGCACGCGGGCCGAGACATGTCCATGACGTGTCCGAGACATGTCCAGGACGCGGGCCTCAAGCTCAAGGCGCCGCTGCTGCAGGAGGCGATCAGCTCCGAGTGGCTCGCCGTCGTCGACTGGAACCGCGCGCTCTTCGATGGCGTGCAAAACTACTATGCACAGCGTCTCTTCACACCTCTAGCTGTGAATAGGCGCGCTCTTCGATGGCGTGCAAAACTACTACGCCGCGACGGCCCGACGGACCTAAGGGCGGTGCGGCGGCCTGCGGGGCCCCTCCTCCTCCGACCCTGCGGCATCGACCGCCATAGGCGCTCGGGGAGGCGGGCGAGTACGGCGCCTGCGTGTCGCGGCTGACGCGCGCCGTCCAGCGCCGAAGAGAAGGAGAGGGGCGAGGAGAGGGGCATGTGACCCGGGGCTGTGTGTGAGGTAGGCATGCCGTGAACCGTACGGCCGAGGCGGTCAACATGTGCCAGCGCCACTCAGCCGCGCTGCAAAAGCAGTTTCGCGACGCGCACGCGCTGGCCAAGGACGCGCACGCCAAGGCGAAGAAGGACAACGACTCGATCTACTTTGACCGCGTGCCGCCGTATGCGACGCTGCCGAAGCTGCCGCGGCACGCGCTCGTCAAGCCGCTCCTTCTAGGAAACCTTCTAGGAGCCTTCTAGGAGCCTTCTAGGAGCCTTCTAGGCACGCGCTCGTCAAGCCGCTCCGCCCCGAGGGACTCGACGTGCCTCCGCCCGAGGTGCACGGCCGAGATCTAGCCGAGATATAGCCTCCGCCCCGAGGGGCTCGACGTGCCTTCGCACGAGGCGCCGCCGAGGCGCCGCCCCTTCCGACTCTCAATCCTTCAGCTGAGGGACCCCCCACCCCCCCACCACCACCCCACCCAAAGGCGCCTCCGTCGCCCGAGAAGCCAGACATCATCGGCGCGGCGGCGGCCTTCGGCGCGGCGAGCTTGGACGGCACGCCTCCGCCGCCCAGCTTCGACGAGGCGAGCAGCGCAGGGGTGGAGGACCTCGTCGCGATGGGCTTCTCGAAGGAGGCTGCGAGCGCGGCGCTCGCCCTCTGCAAGGCGCACTAGCCCTTCACCTCTTCACCAGTGCTGACGGGTCCGTGGCCTCTGAATCAGGCGCTCGCCCAGTGCAAGGGGTCGGTGCAAGAGGCGGCGGCGCTCCTCGTCGACTCGTGAGGCGGCCTCCTCTACCCTCGCATTTCTGCGCCCCCCCGCGGAGCGCCGCCCAGGACCGCAGGCTGCAGGTCGTTGGGCGGTTTGCTCGTCGCTTCAGCAGTGGGTGCGGGAGGTGCTGGAGGTGCGGTATGCTGCCGCGCGCGGCGGCTTTGCTGCGGTACGTCGAGTGTGAGAGAGATCGGTGTTTGCGTTGAGTGTCGTGTCGTGTGGCCGTTTTGCGTGTGTGTGCTGGGGGACTCGTGAACCGCTGGCGGCCGGGGGCGCGACTGCAGCGACCATTGAGTGTGCGTACACGTGCGCACAATCGGAGCTCGGAGCTCCTCCACATACCATTGAGTGTTTTACCCTGGCGCAGCATCTCCCTGCGCCCTGGTTGCTGGTACGTGGTACGCTTTCGTGTCTTTGCGTGTGGTCGCGTCTTTTCCGGGGGTGTCGTCTCTTCCGGGGGACCGTGGTCAGAGAAACAGACTGACGCACACGCTACAAGAAAGTAAAGATCACGTTTCGCTGGCCGCGCCCGCGTCCTCCTCCTCGCCGTCTCGTCTCGCGACGGCGGCCGCCACCGCTTTCTTGAGCAGGCCAAACCGGATGTCGATGAGCCGCATCTGCCCAGCAGCCTCGCCGACACCGCCCTTCTCGTAGGCGGCGATGAGGTCCCGCATCAGCGGCAGCATCGAGGCGCCCTCCGGCGTCAGCTCGACCCGCGTCTCTGCCGCCCTCGCCTCTGCCTCTGCAGCCGCCGCCGCCGCCGCGGGCAGGTCCGCCGAGCGAGCCGCCGCGTCCGCCTGAGCGAGCTCCTCGTCGCGGAGCGCCCGCTCCCTGTCCGCCTCGAGCCACTCGGCCTCGTCCTCGTCGTCGATCAGCATATACGTGTATGCCTCAGTGAAAACCAGCTGAGTGAGACTCCCAGAGCCGCAGGGACCTGGCTGGATTCGGTACTTCAGCTTGGTATAGTATCATCGTATTGTTCTCGAGGGGGTATCAAGGTATGCTCTAGGCCTCTGTGGGGACTTATCTCGGCTGGGTATCAAGGTATCATCGGCGGCCGCGCAGCGAAGCGACAATTCACACCTCGCGCGGCTGCAGCCGCACCGGCTGCGGCCGCGGGCCCGTCAAACGCGACGACGGCCGCCATTAGCGCCCTCCTCACCCAGCGCATTGCTTAGTGGTGCGCTCGCCTCCCTCCTGCGCGACGCTCACTCGAGCGCGTTTGTCTGTCTTGGCGCGCGCGCAGCGCGCGAAGAGGTGTGAAGAGGGGGGTCGTGTCCGGTGTGAAGGGTAACCCACCAGGGTATCAGCCTATCCTCTAGGGGCCCAATGCGGGTCCTCTCAAGAGGGTATCAGGGTATAGCCCTGGGGTATGATCTGCAATACGATGATACTATACCAAGCTGAAGTACCGAATCCTGGCGGAGAGCGGCGTTTTTTAGAGAGCGAGACGTCTGCTTTTTTTGTTTTTTTCGAGCGCCCCCTTTCCCTTCGCTTGGCGTGCCTCCCCCCCCCCCCCCCCCCCTCGATCCGGGATCGCTGCGAGTCTTCGGGCTCTTAAGCTGCGGTGCAAAACTCTTTTTACCACCTTCAAGTCTCGGCGAGGCGTATGGTTCTTGCACTTGTGCAAGATTGGGCGTCTTCTGCCGCAGTCCCTTTGATGGGAGGCCCCAGGGTGGGGGCCACCTCGAACCCCCGGCCAGGGATTTGAGCGGAGGGTGCCCCGGATTCATCTATCCGTTGGGCCCCGGCACCTATTTTAGAACTGATCACTTTGCGCACCAACCGTCGGCCGCCGCTTTTTAGCTGGACGGCGGTACGCTGCGCCGTCGCTCTGTCGTGCACGCTCTCGTGCCTCGTTGTTGTGACACGGGAGTAGAGTCGAGAGGTAGCCCTCGACGAGACGACCGGCGCCGCGATGCCAGACCTCACTGCCGCCGAGCTCAGCATTCCGGCCGAGCAGCACCCCGATCCCGCAAAGCCACTGGTGATACCCGTCGACTCAACAGTGGTAGGCTCTACCCTGCGCTTCATTCCGTGGTCTGTGGTGGGCAATCCGGCCCTCCTCCAGCTGCCCCCTCCTCCTCCGGGGATGCAACCGTCGTGGGTCCAGATTCCGCAGTGGGTCGCCATCAGTGCGCTGCTCGCCTTCAGTGAGCCCGAGCCCGCTGTGGCCACCCACTTTGACAGGCTCAGCGTCTTGCGGCTGGCCGTATTGGCCGCGGCCTGGCGCCGCATCCTCGGTGCCTTGTCCGACCTCGGCGTCTTCAGCACGGTGCACGTGGATGAGGATGCGTTCCGTACGGTGTGCATCCAGGCTCTGCACTCCCGCCAAATCCCGGTGCCCGAGCTCTATCTGCAGTGGGGCGATTTGGGGTACTCTGAGGCTATCGTGCCCTTGGGACCAGCGCCATCTGCAGAAGCGAAGGCCGTCGACTTCTTGCAGTACGCGACGGTCGGGGCTCTTTGCGACCCTACGGCCGACGTCCCGTTCGCAGCCCTGTCTGACATGACCCGCTGCTTGGGGCCCGTCTTCACGGCGGCGGCGCGCGTCGATCCCATGGGGAGCGCCGTCGTGGGGGCTGCATCGCTCGCCGCCGCCGCTGGTCACATCACTCCGCGAGCGAGCGATGGGCACCCCTCCCTGCTCGCTCGGCATGTGCTCAGCATGCTGAAGACTACCCGCGCGAGTTTCCCGGCCTGCCTGAGGACCAACTCCTTTCAGAACTACTCTGCGGAGGTTGAGACTCGCGCCGAGTATGTGGGCGGGACCGCCGCGGCGCGCGACCGAGTAACCGAGCAGCGTTGCTCGCGCGCTATCGCAGCCAAGGCGCCGACGCTCGACTCCCTGCTCCGTGCGCTGCCTCGGCCAACGCCCCCGTCGGTCGTTTATGAAGCCTACCGGCAGCTCGTCTCGCTCTACTTTCCGACGGATCGGCGCCCTATGGACCTGCTCCTGACTGATCTGGATGCTCAGCTTCACGCGCGGCTGCCCACCTACCAACACGCGCTGACCAACGGCAAGCCGTTCGCTTCGATCCTGGCGGGGTTGCGCAAGCTTCACGAATCGCTCGAGCCCTCGAGGAAGGCGCCAGTCATGACTTCGACAGGCGACTCCGAGGACTCGGCGTTGGGCAAGTTCGACCGCGCGCCTAGCTGCTCGGTCTCTTCGTCCTTTGGATCTACCCCCGGCTGCGACCTCGGAGTCGGGCAGATCGCTGGGCCAAGCCGAAATCCGCCCTCGCCTACCCGCTGGCTATCATCCGTATCTTTCAGCGGTGGCAAGTCGTCCTGCCTACCCGCTGGCTATCATCCGTATCTTTCAGCGGTGGCAAGTCGTCCTCCCGAGCATCAAAAATGTGCGCGCGCAAGTTCGCGGACTCCTACGCGTGGCGGTTAATGTCTTCGGGCCGGGGTTCCTCGCGCCGCGACGCAAGGAGCCCTTCACCATGGACATGCTACGCGCGGTCTGCGCCATCCCAGGGTTTATGCCCTTAAGGGCTATATCCCTCCGGGGTCTATGAGGGATATGGCCCTGCAAGGAAGGGGTTGGGCAGTTACGCAAGGCAGGAAAAATCTTATTACGGGCGAAACCCCTTTCGGGCGAGATCCCTCACTCATGGGCGAGACCCCTCACAGGCGAGACCCCTCACGGACGGGGCCCTCGGGCCTTAGCCCTATAGGGTTTATGCCCTTAAGGGCTATATCCCTCCGGGGTCTATGAGGGATATGGCCCTGCAAGGAAGGGGTTGGGCAGTTACGCAAGGCAGGAAAAATCTTATTACGGGCGAAACCCCTTTCGGGCGAGACCCCTCACTCATGGGCGAGACCCCTCACAGGCGAGACCCCTCGCGGACGGGACTCCTCACGGGCGAGACCCCTCACGGGTTACGCCCCTGACGGGCCTTATAGGGTTCCTTTAGATTGGTGTTCCGAGGGGGGGGCGGCGGTAGAGTCGCGCGCGTTAGACTGGGAGCGGAACACAGCTTATCCCGCGCTGCGCGCTCATGTTTGAACGGCATCTCTCGCCAAGCCGCATGGGCGTACTAGCATCCGACGTGGAGCGCGCCTGCCACACCCTCTGGAGCACGTCTGACGCGGCGCTCCGCCGCGAGGCCGACCGCTGGCTCACAGAGTGGCAGCAGTCGCAGGCTTCGTGGGAGGCGGCGCTCGCGCTTGCTCAGGCAACGCCGCCGCCGCCACTGCCACCGCACCACCCCACACGCGTTCACCACCGGGCACCGCCCGCCCGCTGCAGGCTGGCACCGCGTCCGAGCTTCGCCTCTTCGGGGCCGCCGTCCTCTACAACAAGTGCCGTCGCGGGGGAGCGGCGGCGCTCTCGCCGGCAGCCGCGGCAGGCTTGCGGGCAGAGCTGCTGAGGCTGGCGGCGGCCGCAGGCTGCGACGTCCGCCTGCGCGCGAAGCTCTGCCGTGCCGTGGCCACGCTGGCCTCGGCGCCCAGCGGGCGGCCGGCCACCGAGCACGACACTCCCGCGCTGCTGCACGAGGCGCTCGTCGCCGGGCTGCCGGCGGCCAGCGCGCTGGAGCTGGTGGGCCTCGTTGCAGAGGAGGCGGCGGAGAGCGAGGTGAGGGAGGCCGAGGTGCAGGCGGTGCAGGCCCTGCTCCTGCGCTGCCTCGCCCACGCCTTCGAGCCGAGCCGCCCGCCACCCGCCGCTGTCCCCGCCAACGCCGCGCCTGCGCTCGCCTCGCCCGCCGCGCGCTCGGCGGCGCTGGGCGCGCTCTCGGCGTGGGCGTCCGTGCCGGCGGCGGAGGCGGTAACCGTGGCGATCCTCGCCGAGACGCCCGTGTTTGTCCCCCTCCTGAGGCTGCTCGCCTCCTCTGGCGGGGACAGCCCCGGCGGCTCGAGCGGCGGCGCGGCTCACTCGAGCGAGGCGCTCGCTGCGGCGGAGCTGCTCGAGGCGGCGGTCGAGGCGGAGCCTCGCGACGGGTGCGGAGGGTACATGTACCTGTCGGCGGTCGAGCTGTGCCCCCTGGCGGCGGCGCTGCACGCGGCGCTCCAGCCGACGTGGCGGCGGGTCGACGCGGCCGCGGCAGCGGCGGGCCGGCAGGAGGCCGAGGCGGACGGCGAGGACGACGAGGATGACGAGGGCGACAGCGAGGGCGCGCTGGCGCAGATGTCGCTGCTGCGGACTGTGGCCATGCTCCTGCGCGACGGAGCAGCGACCCTCCTCGGCCCCGCCCCCACCGCCGCCGCCGCCGCCGCCGCTGCGTCCAGCGACGAGGCCCTCGCCTCGCTTCTCGACAGCGTGCGGCGCGGCGGCGCGGCGCTGCAGGGACGCGACGACGGCGTGTCGGCCCTCGCCGGCGTCTGGCACATCGGCCGCGCGTTGCTCTCGCGCCTCGTCGCGTGCCTCTCGCACGGTGGCCGTGCCGCAACCGAGGCTCTCCTCGCCACCGAGCCCTTCGGCCCCCCTCTCGCCGCCGCCGCCGCCGCGTGGCCCGCCGAAGCGGCGTCGCTGCGGCACGCTCTCGCCGCAGCCGCTTGTGCGCGCGCCACGTTGCCCCCCGCGAGGAGCGAGGACGGCGTCCTGCTGGTCCGCGGCGTGGGCCCGACGACGCAGCTCCGCGCCTTGCTCGCGCCCGCCCTCTGCGCCGCCGCGGAGCTCGACTCCGCCACGGTGCCTGCGCAAGCCCTCGTGGCGCTTCGCGGCGCGGCGGACGCCGTCGCTGGCGGCGATCATCGGGCCAGAAGCTCGTGGCGGGCGGCCGAAGTGGCGTTGTGGGCCGCCGCAGTGACGGCGCACTTGGTGCCACCGCCCATGCCTCCGATCGTCGGCGCAGAGCGGAGCGCAGAGCCAACCTCCGCCGAGGCGGCCGTGGCGGAGCTGCTCGAGGCTGCCCTCGGCGCGCCGTTCGAGGCTCTGCTCGCGTGCACTCGCGACACGACCTCCTCGCGCGCCGCACCGCCGGGCGCAGGCGCGTGGGCGGGCGCCGTTGGAGCGGAGGCGCTCCTCCTCGCGGCGCGCTGCCGGCTGCTCGGCGAGCACAGCGGATGGCTCAACTCGAGGCCCGGTGCCGTTCGCCCTGTCGTCGCCGCTCTGGCACACGCCACGCGCCACGCGTCGGACTTTGCTGTCGAGGCTGCCGCAGAGGCGTTGCACGCAGTTGCAATCGGGGCCGCCGCCACCATCGCCGCGGACGGCCATGCGCTCGAGGGCATCCTCGCAGCGGCGCAGCGGCCCGCGATGTGCGACGGCGCCGCGGCTGGCGCGAGCGGGATGACGCCCGAGTTGAGGCTGCGGCTGCTGCAAGCTGCCGCGCTCGTCGTCGCCGCGGCGCCGCCGCCGCAGCCACTCGTCGCGCTGCTGTCGCCGGTGGCGAATCAGCTGTCGCTGCTCGTCAACGCACTCGAGAGGGGAGCTGCAGACCGCTGGACGCTCGTCGAGACGTGTGCGGTTCTCGCTGCTGCGCTGCGGCCGCTCGGGCCCCATCAGCTGGCGGGTCAGTTCAGCGAGCTGGGAGGCATCGGCGAGGCCTTTCTGCAGCAGTTGTGGCCGCTCTGGGGCCGCGCGTTCCGGCTCGCGTGGCGGTCGGCACTTTCCACAGTCGATGCCGAAGGCGACGGAGAGCCCGATCCGGCCGTCGACGCGACATGCTCGCTCGCGACCGCGTGCGTGTGGAGCGCCGAGCGTGGGTCCTTCCGACCGCTGGTGGAGGCGACCACCGCGGCCGTCGTCGAGGCGATGCGTGCCGCCGCCGCTGCCGAAATCGACGCTCGGACTTCTTGCGCGGTGTTGCTGCCATGCACGTCGCTCGTCGCTTCCACCCTCGCGGCAGCCGCTTCAGACGACCCGGCGGCAGCTGTCGTCTTCGCGGGAGTGATTGATGAGGCGGTGGCCACGTCGCACCGTTTGCTCTGTGAAGTAGAGCGCGCGCCGCTTTGCGAGGCCGTCATGTCCCTCGCGGCGCGTGCAGTCCACCTACAGCCTCTCGCGGTGCCGCACGCTCGCTCCTTGGGCGAGCTCCTCGCTGTTGCCTGCCACTTGCTCTCGTCGGCCGAGCCGGGGGAGGCCACGGCCGTCGCGTCCGTCGCGCTGGTGCTCTCCATGGCACGCGGATGCAGCGGTGCGGACGAGGCCGCGGCCGCAAGGACTTTGAGCGCCCTCCTATGCGGGGACGCGGCGCGCCTCATGCACGCGCTGCTCCTGGCCGCAGCTCGGGGCGCGCCGCGGCACGCTTTGCCCAGGATCGGCGAGGCTTTCGCTCTCTGCCTCGAGCTGCCGGGGTGGGCACAGGCCGACGCGATCGCCACTTGGGCCGCAAGCACGCATGCTGCCCACGCGCTCCCGGCTCGCGATGCTCTAGTCGCCGTTCTGTGCACAAATGGCGCGCCAAGCATGGCAAGGCGAGGGCTCGTGGTCGAGGCCGTGGTGGATTACGGCCATGCTTGCCGCAGAGATCTGTTCCCGTATGGCCAGTACTAGCACTTGCACACACCAACGTGCACGTGAACCTAATAAAGCAAAAGGCAGTAGTTTCCCATATTATGCTCGTCAGATTTTTTTCCAGCGCTAATTCTAGTTTCTATACGCTAATTTGTAACATTTTAGTGGTGAGATGTTTCTTCGTGTGACGAGTGAGAGCGTGTTTCGCGCGTTTTCTCGCTTCTCGGGTCCGTTGGCCTCTTTTGTAGGGAAGAATTTTGATACCCGTCAAGACACCTGCTGGGGGCAGCTTCGCGATGAAGCCGTCTGGAAATGTGCACGTGCGGGGGGGGGGGGGGGGGGGTGAGTTTCGGTACCCTAGACATGCGCAACGGCTTGATGGACGTGCTGGCTGGTCCGCAGCTTCCTCGCAACCCAGAGAGACACACGGACTGCTCTCTTCACGTGTGGACGAGGAGAAACGATTGAGCTCTCGAAACGTAACGCCTCCGGTCGGCTAAAGCGTCGCGATGAGCGATACGGCGACTTCATGGCCAGCGTGAAGAGATCGCCCGGTGCTGCTGACAATAAAAGTAATATATCTTTACTTCCAACACCCGGACGTTCCCAGGGTGATGGAAGGTTCGACGCACCCCCGGACTGGGCAGAGAAATCCCAGGAATCCCGGTGCTGCTGACATAGCGCGCATGCACATTCTGCGCGCCGAGGGTGGCATCTACGTCGACGCAAATTCCATGTTTCTCGACGATCTAGGACCCGACTGTGCCACAGCACCCTTGCTTACCGCTGGTCGTCGCAGAGCTACAGCAATACCGCGGTGATAAAACGGGACGCTGGGTGAAGTCATCAGGTTGGCGCGCCGGGGTCGGAGCGCCCAGGACGCAGGAGTGTGTCAAACCAAGCGTATATCCCTGCGCGCTCGAAGATTTTCCGCGGCGTGAAGCGCCGGCGGAACATCGCGCGCCGCCTCGCGGCCAGAGCGTGACGAGACACGTTGCTCAGGTCGGCGAGCCGGGTAAAGGCGGGCACCACGTCAGCTTCATCGACGAAATCGACGAGCCCGTGGAATTCGGACTCGTCCTCGGGGTGGCAGCGGACGGAGATGATGAGCGCGCCCGCGTCGAGCAGCTTGGCGGCGCGAAACGTGACCGGGGCCGCACCGTACTCGGGCGCGTGCTTGTGCATGTTGAGAAAGATGGAGCTGGGCGGCACGCTCTCGCGACTCTTATCGGGCCCAGCCCACCCGTCGGTGATCAGCCGCGCAAACTGCGTGTCGTCGAAGGCGTAGTAGACGAGCTGCGCACGCTCACCGAGGGCACGCGTGATGTTGCTCCACAGCGCGCGTCGCGACGGGTACCATTTGGTCTGCCCAAAGAAAGTCAGCCGGGGCCGCTCGGCGGCCCAGTGAGGGATCACGCCGCCGGCGACCGCATCTCCCTCGCCCTTCCCACAGCGGGACACGGCGACTCGAACTCGGTAGACGCGTTGAGGATGGCGGAGCTGGGCTCTTTCAGCTGGCCCTTGAGGACGGTGGCGGACGTGCAGCGGCTCCTCGGTTGCCAGTATGCTCGGCCCACGGACCTCGTCGCCTTCGAGTTCTCGGGGGCAATGCGCTCTGCCCTCACGATTGCCACGACGCGCGATGGCCGACCATACGAGGACGCGCGCGTCCCGCTCAACCAACTGCGGCCGCTGCCTCCGCGACAACTGGCCGCATGAGGCGTGCTCCAGAGGGTGGAACCCATTACAATCACCACACAGGGTGGAACCCATCATAATCACCACACAGGGTGGAACCCATCATAATCACCACACAGGGTGGAACCCATCATAATCACCACACAGGGTGGAACCCATTACAATCACCACACAGGGTGGAACCCATTACAATCACCACACAGGGTGGAACCCATTATAATCACCACACAGGGTGGAACCCATTACAATCACCGCACAGCTACCCGGCTTGCGAGTAGGGAGGAGGAGGCTGCGCTGCGCAAGCACGGGCGGGAGGGGCTTCTCCTGCGGAGTCGTGCGTGCGCAGGGCTCCTCTTTGCTTTCTTCTACTCCCTACTATCATTTCGTTCCCGTCCTACCAGAGAAGGTAGGCCCGAAGGCAGAGGAGAGGACGGACGAGTCGCACTAATCAGCGAGAGATGTGACTACGATCTGACGGCGGACGGACGTGCGAAGCCGCTACCTTTTTATTCCGAGCAAGAGGAGGACAGACAACGAGAGAACAGCTGTTTGGGGGGTAGGGTAGGGGTAGGTCCCGGGTTTGGGGTAGGATTCCTAGGGGGTAGGGGGTAGGGGGGTTGGCCACCACTGGGGACGTCCGTTACATGCTCTTTTGTGGAGGTAGGGGGGTAGGGGGCCGGGGTGGGGCTGGCCTCCCTACCCTCTAAACAACAAAACCACTTCGCTTGCTTGTAAGTGCCAGGCGCAGCGGCGGCGGCGCGGCGGCGGCGCGTAGATCGCGACCGACGCGCCGCGCGGCACGTCGCGAGCACACGAGCGCCGCGGGTGCCGTGCCACTAACCGGTTGTGCCGGAGGAGGGCGGTGGAATTATTGCCGTCAGCGCTCCGATGTGCAGAGAGCCCCCTCCGCAGGGCCCGCTCATCGCCCAGTCCCGCCGCGGCTTGCGCGGGGCCTGTGCACAGCGGCTGCGCGATGTGGGCGACCTGCGCCCGGTCCTCCTCGTCGTGGTCGGCATTGCTGCTGCGCATGTGACGGCGACGCAGCTGACGACCGAGTGCCTCCGGCATTCGGAGCGCCTCACCACGCCCCTGCTCCTTTGGGCGTCCACGTGCTCCAACCTCCTTCTCGGCGCGCCGCTCCTCGCCTGGCGCGCTCGCGCGAGGGGCGGCGCCAAGCCGCTCCTCGGCGCGTGGGATGCGCGGCCTCGCCAGCTCGCCCTCGCCGTCGCGCCCTTCTTTGTGCTCTATCTGGGTGCAAACGGCCTCTACATTGCCGCGCTGGCCTCGCTCTCGCCGCCGCTCGTCGTCTCAATCTTCTCGACCACGCCCGCCCTCGTGGCGCTCCTGTCCGTCCCACTGCTCGGCCGCCCGCTGCGCGCGCTCGCCGTCGCCGCCGTCGCCTGCTCGACGGTTGGCGTGGTCCTCGTCGCGCAGCCGTGGGCAGCGGGCGGGCGGGCATCTTCGCTGAATAGCACCTCCGCTGAAGCAGCATCAGGGGAGGGCGGCGCGGCGGGGCTGGGCGCGGCGAGCGTGGCCGCGGCGAGCGTGGCTGGCGCGGCGGGCTGCGCGGCGCTGTACAAGGTCCTCTTCCGCAGGCTGTTTGGCGACGTCCCTCCTCCGGCGCTGCTCCTCGTCCTCGTGCCGCTCGGAGGGTGCGGGCCTCTGGTAGCAGAGCACTTGTCTTAGCTCTGTAGTGAGCTCCTCGTCCTCGTGCCGCTCGGAGGGTGCGGGCCTCTGGTAGCAGAGCACTTGTCTTAGCTCTGTAGTGAGCTCCTCGTCCTCGTGCCGCTCGGAGGGTGCGGGCCTCTGGTAGCAGAGCACTTGTCTTAGCTCTGTAGTGAGCTCCTCGTCCTCGTGCCGCTCGGAGGGTGCGGGCCTCTGGTAGCAGAGCACTTGTCTTAGCTCTGTAGTGAGCTCCTCGTCCTCGTGCCGCTCGGAGGGTGCGGGCCTCTGGTAGCAGAGCACTTGTCTTAGCTCTGTAGTGAGCTCCTCGTCCTCGTGCCGCTCGGAGGGTGCGGGCCTCTGGTAGCAGAGCACTTGTCTTAGCTCTGTAGTGAGCTCCTCGTCCTCGTGCCGCTCGGAGGGTGCGGGCCTCTGGTAGCAGAGCACTTGTCTTAGCTCTGTAGTGAGCTCCTCGTCCTCGTGCCGCTCGGAGGGTGCGGCGCCGCGTGTGCTCTGCTAGGCCCTGCCGGAGGCTCCTCTGAGCCTTCGAGGAGCCTCCCCGCAGGTATGGCCTCGTGTGCGGCACGGCCCTCCTCTCCGCCCTCCAGCCGTGCTGGCCCTCCGACCTCGCGTCGGCCGGAGGGGGAGGCGCCCTGCTCCTCGCCGGCCGGGCCGCCGCCGACGTCGCCTTCAACCTCCTCATCGCCCTCGGCCTCTCGCTCACCCACCCCCTCTTCATCTCGATCGGGACCCTCCTCTCGACGCCCCTCGCCCTCGTGCTCGCGTCGCTGCTGCACGCGCCTCCGCCGTCGCCCGCCGCGGCGGTCGGCATCGCTGGCATCGCGATCGGCTTCTGCCTGCTCCTCGCCGACGAGGTCCGCAGCCCGCCGCCCGCCGCCGAGGACGGGGAGGCGGCGAGCTGCGGAGGAAGCGGGGGTGAGGCGGGGGAGCAACGCGCGAGAACGAGGAGCTGATGAAGATCGTGTCCTATTGCGTTTGTTTTCTTGTATTCTTTCGGCACACCGCTTTCTTTTTCGTGTTAGTGCCAGTGCGCGCCACAAAAGAAAGAAAGTTTTGAAAACAGTAACAGACACAACCCCAAGGCGCCAGGCCCAGGGAGGCAGGAGGGAGATGGGAGGACGCCATGCCGCCACCACACAGGGATTTTAAGGAGAGGAGTGTGGTGCTAGCCGTCGCCCACCCTAACCCTTGAAAGAAAGAAAGAAAGAAAACAGGCAACCCAAGGGAGGGATGGGAGGACGGTACGCCGCCACCACACAGGGATTTTAGGGGAGAAGTGTGGTGTTAGCCGTCGCCCACCCTCGGGCGTCTACCACTTCCTATCTCTCTCCGCAGTTTATCACCAATTCTTGCAGCGACCTTCATGCCACCTCGCATTCTTCTCACTCTCGTCGTTCTCTCTCCTGCTGTCTCTTCCCCTGACTCATCGCTCTCCTCGGCCTCGTTCTGAGACGCCGCTGTCGTCTGCCGATCTCTTGCTCTCGCTGCTTCTCTCGCCTTTCTGCGTAACTCCGCTCTCCTCTCCGCGTATTTTGGTCCCTCGAGTTTATCGAGCATTCCTCGCGCAAGGACCACATTTCTGACTCCCACTGCGAGCATATCCCGCCCTGTCATGTCGTTGCTCAGGTCGACTCTCGTTTCGAGCACTTGTACCTCAATGGTCGGTGTTGGCACTGGGGTTCCCTTCGGGTATATTGTGACAGCTGACGGCGGGATTTCCACTTTTGTTTCGTCCTCCTCGGGGTCGTCTTCCCCGGCTTCCTTGCGTTCGGCGTGGCTTACCCTCCATGCCGTGAACAGGCGCTTTATCCACTCTATATTCTTCTCTCGTTCCTCTGCCCGTGCCTTGGTCTTGTCGTTGTTTCGCACCCATGTCTGTATGGCCATCGAGGCTGCCTTCCCCACTACCTGTAGTTCACTCGTCACCTCTCCCGCGAGCTCCCCTCTCTTTCTTTCGGTTATGGTGTCCGTGAGTGCGGGCAGCGTGCAGGCAATCACGGGCGCTATTTTGTCGTACTCCCCTTCGGCGAGCGCTCCGAATCTAGACCCCATTGCCTTTAAGGAGGCTGCCCTCGTCACTTAAACTCTCCCACGCGTCTTGGGCGGGGTCCTTTGTTTCCGTGCCGTCCGTTCCTCCTCTCGCCGCGACCGTTATCTTAGCCTGTCCCCTCACTGGCATGTAGACTCCTATCTGTGTCCACTCCAACCCGCTTGCCACGTCCTCCATCTCCACCCTCACGACACGACCTCTCACCACTTCCTCCATTGCCACTTCCCGCTTCCCGTCTCTCTTTGCCTGCAGGTGGTCCGGGTCCCACACAATCAACACCCCCGCTTTGAGCGCGCGCGCAGCCGGGTCTTTGTAGGCTGGGGTCCCACACGCCTCTATCCCCTGCGTCCCGAGGTATTCTATCACTTCGCGCATTTCTTCCTCCCCGAGGTGCGTATCCGCCAGCGTGGCGAGCCACACCCCTCCCTCCTTGATGTATCTGATGATCTCCACCAACTTCTTTGTTGCCTCCCGTCCCGTGTTGCGGATCGGTGCGCCTCCCCCCTCTTTTAGTTCCCGGATTTCCTCCATCGCCCCCTCTATGCTCTCGAGGCCCCCGCCGCAGACGTTTGAAATGGGCTTGTCCGTGCGCCTTCTTCCGTGGCGCCTTTTTCTGCGCACCCTTGCTCATTCCGTTTCCGTGGAGTGCCTTCATGAGTGCATTCCACTCGGCGATGGGTATGTGCCATGTGTAGGCCGCGGGTATTCCCAGGTGTGCCAGGTCCTCATCTAAGAGGGGCCTCATCCCCAGCCGTTGTGCTCGCGCGTCCGCCCTCTCGAGCGGGCTGGAGGCGGGTTCGACTGCGGGTACCCCGTAGAAGTCCAGGTCTGGGTCGAGCTTCCCTCGCCCCTTCCGCCGCACATTCCGTCGGTGTCGCTTCCACGCCCACACCCTCCTCTTTTTTGCGCGGATCGGGAGGGCGGCGATCTCTGCCCCCGTCCATGCTTCGCGTCCCCTTGGCGCTGGGCGCCGTCCCCCGCGTTTTCTTTTTCGGGCGCGCCGTCTGGCTTTTTCGCTTCTTTTCTCTCTGTGCGGGGGGTCCTCTGGTTTTGCGCGACCGGGGCTGTGAGGCGCCTCTGGCTCTGCAGCTGGTGGTGGTGCTGCTCCTGTCACTATGTCACTGTGTCGTGGGGCCGACGTGCGCGGTGGCCTTCCTCGGCCCATCCTCCCGTGACGCACGGCGAGGGCGACACTCGCCACGGTTGCGAGCGCCCACCCTATCCACCACCTCACTCCACCCAGAGGCGCCAGCGATGACAGCAAACAATTAAATAAAATCCACCGTATATGAGCCAGAGCGCCGCTGCGGGCCGCCCTGTCCAGCGCTGCACGTGCGCACGCGTCTCGCCCGAGCATCGCGTGGTCCCGGGTTCGAGACCCCGGGGGGGAGGGGGGGGCCTCCTCGGCCTCCTCGGCCTCCTCGGCCTCCTCGGCCTCCTCGGCCTCCTCGGCAGCCTCGGCTGCTTGGAGCCCGAGGAGCACGCGGCGCGGATCGTTTTGCTCGCGGCCTCGCCGACGCGCCGCTCCGCCGGCACGCTCTGCGCCCGTCGGTGGCAACCGCGGCGGCTCTTCTCGCCATGCCAGGCGTTGAGCGCCAGCCAGCAGCAGGCGGCAGCAGCCCGCCGGCAGCTGTACTGCGGTTGGCCCAGCCGCAACGGGTGCTCCGGCCCGAAGGGCGGGCAACTCACGCCGGCTGGGAACTACAGCTAGGTGGTGTCTGTGCGCGGCGGCGGCAGTGGGCAGAGCGAGGGCGAGCAAGGCGAGCATTCAAGTGCGGCCGTTCAAAGCTCGGCGGTCGCTCTTCGGGCATGAATCATACCTTACCAAAAAATCCGAACCACTTTCTCCGTTTTTATTGTTGTGGATGGCTACGGCGCCCGGCGGCAGCAGCAGCACCGCCATCGACCTCGACGCAGCCCCGCCCCGCAACAGGACTGCTGGCGCCCCGATCGACCTCGACGCATCTCCGCAGAGGCCAGCCGCCGCCGCTGGAGACCAGCGCGCTGCAAGTTCGCCGAGGACTGGACCTGCAGTGGGCGCACCGAGCGTCGTGTGCCTATCCTCCGGCGAGGACACTGACGACGAGTGCCGCGAGGTGCTAGCGCCACCACGTCCGGCGCCCGGCCCCGGCGGCGGTGGCGGCGGCGGAAGCAGCGGCGGCGACCTGGACGGCGAAGGGCTGGTTGTGACGGGCACATCCGGCGGGCTGCTCGCGGAGAACCTGCCGCACCCGCGCTGCGACTGCCCACTCAAGCAGTTTGTTGCGCGAGGCGCGCGCCGCACGATCGCCACAAATGAGGCTACGTGCGACCGGTGCTACTGTTTTGTCTGCGAGTGCCGTGCGCGCGAGTGCAGCCAGTGGCGCTCATCAGACGCCAAGCGGCCGGCGCACTGCAACGCGCATAGTTCTACCTGCCCCGGGGCTACCGGCGCCTCGATCTGGCGCGCGTTGCGGAGGGAGAGGAGGGAGAGGCCGCGCGCACGGCACGCGCCGCCGCCGCCCGCCTGCGCACACGGACCGTGAGCGATAGCCGCCTAGCTGGGCGCGCACTTACTTACTTGCACTCTCACCGACAAGGCACCGATAGGAATTTCACCTGTGACCTCTACACTGAACACTGTAGTATGATGTATGTATGTAGGAAGGTGAAGAACAGTTGTTGGAGCACTTGGAGTGCGGGGTCGCTTTTCTTTTTTCTGCTGCCCCGGCATGACGTTGAGCCGGGAGAAGGATGTTCTCGCCAGCGTGTGCACGGTCGCTTCTGCAGTCGAGCGCCTCGAGGCAGCATGCTCGCGCTTCAAGGCCCTCGGCGAGAGCTCGGCAGTCGGCGCGCCGGCAGACACCGCCGACCTCCAGTGCAGCCTCGCCCGTGGCCGAGACCAGCTCTCGGCGCTCGAGAGCACGCTGCGCGCGCTGCACAGCAGCCGTCAGGTGGTCGCCGTCGCGCCCACGCCGGCCGAGCTGCAGCCGCCGTGCGTCGACGTCACGTACTCCGACGGCGGGCGCCGTCTCTCCGCCGCGGGCGGCGACGCCTCCGGACGCTCTGGCGGTGCCACGGCCTCGGAGGCGGCTCTCCGGCTGGCGATCCACCGCGAGCGGGCGGCGGCGGCGGTGGCGCTCGCGCGCTGTGAGAAGGAGCCGCCTCGCCTCACCCGCACTCGCCCACGGCCCTCGCTGCCTCCCTGCCTCTCTATCGCCCACGCTCGCCCACCGCCCTCACCCTGCTCTGCTCTGCTCTCCACCAGCACCACCGCCGCCGCGCTGCAGTGGCCCGCTGTTCTCTCTGCGTGTCTGTCTGCCTCCCTGCCTCTCTATCGCCCACGCTCGCCCACCGCCCTCGCCCTGCTCTGCTCTGCTCTCCACCAGCACCACCGCCGCCGCGCTGCAGTGGGCCTCTGCTCTCTCTGTGTGTCTCTGCCTCCCTGCCTCGCTATCGTGATCACCGTCGTTGCCCTGAGATGCACGCAGCCCCACGACTTGGCGCCCGACGTCATCACCCGCAGCGCAGCCACCAGTGCTTGCGAGAAAGGGCGCCAGCTACAGACAGCCTTGTTGACGTCAATGCAGACCCCATGAAATGGCGCCCGTCGTCATCGCCTGCAACGCTGCCCCCGCGATCAACAACCTATGCCCACTCCGCACTCGCCACCCCGGGGTGGATCTCCCCATATCTCCCCCATATCTCCCCCACATCTCGCCACCCCGGGGTGGATCTCCCCATATCTCCCCCATATCTTCCCGGGGTGGGTGCAAGGGAGAAGGGGACAGAGGGCCACACTGGAGGAAGATCCTCGCCCGAAGGGAATGGGGCTTAGTGAGTTAGTCAGAGGTGAAGACACACACAGCTTGACCAGCGACGGGTCACCCGGCGGTGCGTCGGGGCGGATGCAAGGGAGACGGTCACACTGGAGCCACACACAGAGACCTCACAGACGGGACACTCACGGGGCTACTGCTGCTGCTGCTGTTACCTCCGGTCCACACGGGTACTCCCGTGCTAGGACAACAAGGCCCCACGGGACACGGCGTCTCCACACTAGGCGAGTCACACATGTGTCGTGATTGGGATCAAAGCGCTGACTGAGAGTCATGAATGTGTGTCTGTGTACAGACCGGACACTCACGGGGCCCAGAGGAGAAGCGTGCTCGCCTAGCTCCCCATATCTCCCTTAGGGCAAGGCGTCGCATCTCTCCCCAGATCTCCCCAGATCTCCCCGGATCTCCCCAGATCTCCCCAGGTCTCCCCAGATCTCCCCATACCTCTCGCGCCGGAGCGCTCCGAGCGATGCCTTGACAGCGATGCCATTCACAGCGATCCCTTCACAGCGGCTCGGCCGCGAACCATAGGAGCTGCTGCTAGCGCGGCGCGGAGGGCGGAGGCGCGCGTCGCGCCCCTCCCGGCAGCAACACGCTCGATCGGCGCGACCGGCCTCGCCGCGAGGGGCTAGCAACGGCGAAGTCGCCGCCAACGGAGTCGCCGAGAGCTCTAGCAGTGGCCTTGGCGGAGGCGGAGGCGGAGGAGGAGGCGGAGGCGGAGGCGGAGGAGGAGGAGGAGGCGGAGGCGGAGGCGGAGGAGGAGGCGGAGGCGGAAGCGGCGGCGGCAGCGATTTCGGCGGCGATTTCGGCGGCGGTGTCGGAGGCGGTGGCGGCGGTGGCGGCGGAGGCGGCGAGGCCGGCGGGGGCGGCGAGGGCAGCAGTGGCGGCGGTGGCAGCGGCAGCGTGGAGAAGCAATCTCCGACGGAGATCGCGCAATCTCCGAGGGAGATCGCGCCTCGATCGACGGTCAGTGTGGCGGAGGCGACCCTCCCCATCTCTCCCCACCTCTCCCCATCTCTCCCCATCTCTCCCCATCTCTCCCCATCTCTCCGCATCTCTCCCCATCTCTCCCCATCTCTCCCCATCTCTCCCCATCTCTCCCCACATCTCCCCATATCTCCCCACATCTCCCCCACATCTCCCCCCATCT